CCGCCGCGCCCCCCCGGCGGGTAGGGCGGCGCGGCCGGAGGACAGCGGGGGGGGGACGGGCGGCTGCTCCTGCCGGCCCCGCTCTGCCCCGGGCTGAGCTACCGGAACGAGCGCCGGGTCCGGTTTGCCCGTCCTCCTTTAGGCGGGAGATGAGGAGGATGAAAAGACACGAGTTCGGTTAAAGTTAATTTTCCAAGAAAGTAAAGGAATCGGCGTGTCCCAGCAGATGTAAACTCGGGGTTTTGCCACGTAACCAGTTTCTAGTTCAAAAAAAAATAAAAATAACACTCTATTAAACTTGCTCACCTTCTCTTTTTTGTCCGTGCTTGTCTCTGTGCAGCAAGAAGTGACGGTGGAAGTGCTGGATCACCTGGAGCGCCTGGCCTTGGTGGATTTCCGCGATGCGGAGGGCGTAGAGCGGCTGCAGAAAGCGATCGGGTTTGCTGATCAGCTTCGTGAAGTAAACACAGATGGAGTAGAACCGATGGATTCGGTCCTGGAGGACAGGTAATGAATCACAGCAGCCTCCTTTTAACTGCTAAGGTATCAAACTCTTTACTTCTGTAACTTTTCTTTCCCCCCCCGCCCCGGGAATCACCCTGGTTATGCGTTTGGCCCCTTTGCTTGCGGAAAAGTCTTACCGTGGTTTTGCGTGGAAGGCAGATGTCGTTGGCACCCGTGACCTTTGTGTGTAAGCACAGCGAAGATGAACTCCAACGCCTTTGTGTGTCTTACTTGTCACGAACGATCTGCACACGCTGCTCCCCAAATACCTGTCCGTGGCATTCTTAGTTGCTTCAAAATGTTCCAATACTTGTCTTACCGCTTACTTAAGACCAAAACCAGGTTTAGAGATAAGCCACACTTCATATTTCCTGTTCATGGAATAGCTTAAAGACAGGTGGGTAATCTTTGTTCTTCAGGTGTCTGTATCTCAGAGGAGACGATGTTACAGAGGGCAACTGCACCAACGAGCTGCTGAAAAATGCCAGAGAGAAAGTAGAGGAATATTTTGTAGCCCCACCAGGTATTGTCTTCCTTATAAAAACCTCTTAATTTTGCTTGAATTCACCTGAGGAGTGTAACCTGCCATAACAGCATTTACTTTCAGAAATACTAGCTAGTAATGAGGAAGTAGTAAGATAAATAACCGAAGCCATCTGAAAAAAACAAACTGCAATCTGCTGGTCCAAAAGCAGAACAGGAGCTAACCTTACTCTAAAGTCACCGCACGTGTTGAGCGATTACTTACACAAGTCAGGCAGGACTTACTTCCCTTACTTGTGCAGGAAATTTAAGCTGCCTGTAAGAAGACAGAATAAACTGGAGAAGCGCTTTTCTGCTAAGCTGTGCTCCCCAGAAGGTTACTTACTGCTTGTCTCACACGACCTTTTGTTTTGTCTTCTATCAGGTAACATCCCTTTACCGAAGCTAGAAGAACGAGAGACTTTTCTGCAGGGCTCTTAGTGAGAGCCCAGAACCCAGATGCCATTTTGGTATTTTATTTGGGAAAACCAAGGTCTGTGCAGTCACGGCTGAGAAACCCTGGCATGCATTTTGAGCAAAAGAAGAGCGCCTGCAAGACAATTCACAGAAGGAGGAAGGTGTACGAAGTTCCGTAGTGCTACTGAAATACTCAGTGTTTATGAAGCTGGAAGGCAGCATGACAGATGATAAGATACTGAACGGCTTAAAGGCTTTAAAGAGAACATTGAAAGGTGATCGTTAAATAACCCAGGATGCTATATTTTTTCCTCAACAAGTTTGTGAGGAAAACGAGAGAGGCTGGAAGGCTGTCTTTGCCTGTTTCTCAACTTTAGCTCAACTCTGCTCTGACCCTGTCAGAAGTAACAAAGTCCGGTGTGGAAGAGTCCGTAACGCTGCTGAGTATCTCTCTGACGTACGGACAGAACTCGGATTTCCATTAGGGAGGAAAAGGCACTTTGAGGAGATGATTCACTCAAATATTTTGCTTCCATTGAATATTTCCATGTTATCTCTGTGCCCCCTGTCTGTGTGGGTTACCTTCTGTTTCCCACTTTGTATTTTTATTCTCACAAATTAAATACTCGAGTTGTACATAATTTGAGAAAGAACTTTTCATAGACAGAAATAGCTGCTCTAGAATTAAAAATCTTTGCCATGAATATTTCTGTACACCAGATGTGTATCTCTAGTGACACTAGCGATATTTTCTGGATCAAACCATTTTTCCGTTTCAAATAAAGCATTGCAGTTGTTTGTGTTATGTAAAATATCCTGTGTGGCTAAGCTTGTAAATAAAGAATGTAATTATTTGCGAACTTGGCATTTTTGTTCTGTTGGCACCGTGAACTAAATATGCACTATAACCATTGTATTTTTGTTGGAACAGGTTTTAGAAATACAAGTACCCCAGTACCCGTTAGTGTTGCAGGCAGGCATTGCTAGCAGGAAGCTAGCAACAGCTTTATTAGAAGAAGCAGTAACTTTTCGTCCTGGATGGCGGTCCTTAAATCCATACATAGATTTAAGAATCCAGAATTATTTATTCCAATTTTCACAATCTTTTCTGGTGCATAGAGTTACGTCCTGAGCCACAGTGGAATTTTCTTCAGAAGTGCTAGAGAAGACCCCTGAAGTTATTGTGGTAGGATACTGCTAATCGCCAGTTCTGAGTCAGCTCTTACGGCTCGTGAGAGCCTGACAGGAGAAGGAAAGTAGGCTCCTCCGTGCCTGTGCAGGCACATGCTTCTCTGAGGGCAGAAACTCACCTCATGCCATCGTAACTTGACGTCATCCAGCTCGCACAGTGCGTGCTCTGTATCTTTTTGCAGAGAAAAGCCATTACTCCCATTCCGCCTTCCTGTACGTCTGCAGAATAAACACCACCAGCGTGGTGCGTGCGTCCCTTCAGGCCCTGCCCGCTGTCGGAGAGGCTGAGCGTGGCCGTAACTACTATGCACTGCATCTTCCACATCCCTGCAAACAACAGGTAATACAAATTAGAGATTAGTGACACACACGCATGGTTTCTTAACATCTCAAAAGTCCACCAAGCGTATCAGAAGTATCACTTCTAAATATCTAAGTATCACAAAGTATATTTTTGCTGAAAAAAATACTAATGAGTTCGAATAGTACAGGTACTGGGTTCAGCCATTAGCGGCTTGCTCTTAATACCGTGGGTGCTACTTCGACAAGCTCCCTCTCGGGCCATGCGTTACGTGCCACGTATTCAACGGAAAACCTAGGCTGAGTGAAAAGGGCTACGGCCGTCTGTGCTGGCGTGAGAAATCCCGGCCGTTGGGTAGGATCCACCCGCACTCGCTGCCCTCAAAGGTTGCACGTTTGGTAAGCTTTGAACTGTTTTTTTTTTTCCTGGAACTGAATTTTTTTATTTATTTGGCAGGAAGTGAGAGCAAACACTTGTCCCACTCTTACTTGTGCAGTTACTACATTATTTGTTTAAGCTTCCATAATATATACACATACATATATACATATATGCATACGCATAAAACATGTAATTATTACGATATTTGAATTCTTTCAAGGGCGTTGCATTAAAGTCTGTATTTAACCCCACTAATCCAATTCTCTGCAAAGCTGTAACACTGTATTAGTGCTTTAGTCTCAGGCTTTTCAAGATTCAGACCCTGCAAATGCTGAAGTTTTACAAATACACAAGCGCAGCCTAAAAGTTGTTTACGATGCATATATAAATCACGACAAGGAAAGTCCTCAAGTCACACCACACAACAAGCATGTTAGCAGAGAATTCCCACTTTGAGAAATCCCCACTTTTTCTATCCATTTTGGCCACCTCCTTTGACCATCAGGGAGAATGGGGACAATGTTATTTACATGGAAAATGGAAGAGGAATTTGAGAGAGAACTGCACGGCCGCAGGAGCTCCCAACCCGATATATCAGCAAATAACTATTTAAAAGCGACAACCAAACCACCAATTTGGACAAAGGTGATCCCACGTTCCCAGTACAGCACAGGCTAAGCTTAAAACTGCCAGTTCACCACCGCTCCCTTACCCGCAGGCTCCAGTGAGAGAACAGACTGCCCGAAGCTTGTTCCCCGCAGCCCAAACTGCATTTAAAGTGGAAAACACACATTTCCTTAATGAAGGGTTTTGTTGCAACTTCACATCTAATAAGGGAATTACAGCCCTGACTCAGACACCTGCACCACCAGAACAGGAACCCCAGCACCGGCCAGATGAGCTGCCTGTGGGGCAGAATACGTTGGTGCCTCAGCCCGCCCTCGGCGTGTCTAACGTGGGTGCTGCGCCCCGCGGGACGGCACGAAGCCCCGCTGGGCCCCGGCTGCACCCTGAGGTGGGGACGAGACGCCCTTCACGGTGCCGGTTCACCTGCTTTCACCCCAGGGCCTCGACGCGCAAGCAGGTCTGGATCTGGAGCAGATCTTTACAGTATTTTGCCACAATGCAATTTATAAACGCAGGCAAGTGAATAGATATAGTTAAGGACTCGTGTAATAAAATTGCTACCTGTAAATTCCTTGTAAAACTGCAGCGTGGCAAACGTAATGTATATTTGTGAAATAACTCATCTTTTCTCAGTGGTTAACAGATACAGTGAAAAGAAAAATAAATCTGGTAAAAAAAAACCCAAACAACAAAAGGAAGGCAGATTCTGAGATTATGTAAATGTAGCCAGTTTCCCCAGAGACCATGGAGGTAACTTGACCTACACCTGCTAAGGTTTTTCCACTACTATGTAGATCTGTAACATGAAATTGGATTATAATCCCTAGCATATAGATTCCAGGTTTACAAAGAAAATTTCAAGGTGGACATTGCTTCAGTTTTACGGAAAAAAGAAAATGGAAGTTGTTTTATTGCTAATAATGATTATTTTATGTTTTGATAGTAACTAGGAGAACCAAGAAGAATCTCAGTTAGATACAGTGATACAATATTCAACACGGAGAGAAAAAAAAAAGCCTCAACTGAAAAGTGCTTACAATCTAACCTCCATCTGCAAGAGGAATCTCGTGATATGCCTTATCCATTACCCAGTTTCCTTCGGCACCTCCTCTACTCCAGCTGTCATCTCCTGTGTGTATTTGTTCTGCCTTCCCCTGCAGCTCCGTCCTGAGGGAAGTTATACTTTTGTATTCGAGATTAACAAGTAAGGCTCTAATGTTTCTCTTTCAAGCCGTGTATCTCAGGCTTTAATGTTTCTCATTAACGACGTGTATCTCACCCACACTGACATTTCCTGCAGTCGTCATCACATCTGTTCCTTCAGCTAACCATTTCTTAACAAATGCGTAGAAAATTGCCTGCAGCTACCAAGCGCAGCCACCTCCTCAGAGATTCATGGCTGTTTCTGAAGTTCATTGTAAGCACTGGGAAGGCTGTAAAATGGTTCCGTTCTGTCAGCACAAAACTGTAGTACTCAAAGAACCATTGCTAGTGCTGCAGATACCACACACAGGTCTGTAAATTAATTGCTTGCTGCGGCCCCAAGACTATTCAAAGCTTCCTCGAGTTGCTAGCACACCAGGTCTCTTATGCCCTTTCATCTGCTGCATTAAAGCAGGTAAGTTCCCTTCATCTCAGAACGTTGAGTTGTCCCTAATCCTGATGGCAAGGCAGAAAGCAAAGCTGTGAATTGCGTCTCTCCTACTTGGAATGCTAAACCCTGGGAGCTAAAGCCAGAAGTTATTTCTGAGATACTTTAGGGTGACAAAAGCACTACATTACCCAGTTTTAATATTTTGGGGACAGTATATTCTTCTGAGGTTGCCTCAGAGCTTGCAAAAGCAAAAGGTTGCTTGCAGTCGTGCTGCTTTTGCTACCAGTGACACTGAGCGGGTAACTATACTGTACTAACATGAAAAATATTCGCATTTCAAGTGAGGTGGATGACTGCTCTTGAGTTTTTTTATTTCTACAAGAAAATGGCAGTCCCACCAACCAGTATTTGAAAACCTCTTTTAAATCATCCTGTGCTGTTTGCTGTAGACATGGTTCAGAGTCCTGTTATTAACAGATCACCAGCTAGGGAAGACTCAACAGCAATTTTCTAGCTGCTGACAAGAGTATAAGCAGAAAGTGCCCCAGGGAGAGTGAAACCAACAAAAGAGAGCACTGGGGACCTCCCGAAACGTCTTGCTTCGTTTAAAAAAAAAAAAAAGGCAAGAGTTGCAGAAACGGCGAGGTCTGCAAAGATGAGACGTAAGAAGCCTGAGGGATTCAGTTCACTGAAGGAACAAAGCTGACTTGATCATACTTGGTAAACACGGGTAAAAGATTCCTACCAGAGGTCACTTAGTCTGAAAGACAAAGACAAATTGAAAAACCGACATGTGAGTAGGAAAGATGATCAAGTGCTGTTTACAAGCTCTGGAACTCCTCCCTCCGACACGGGTGGGCTTTCCCCTCGGTAAGGGGCACCTTCCTGAAGGAGCCGTCCCAGTGCAAAGAGAAACAGGGGCCTGTGACAGAGACCGCTGGGTGAAATTCGCTGTCTGCGAGCGGGGTTGGGGCGAGTTATAATAAAATGGCCTCGGGGGGCCAGATATCACCTACGGAAAGGTGTTTTACAGCAGCTGGTGGGCACATTACGATGCACCGGAGACCGAGCGCACGTCTGGGCCTGCCCCGCCGCCGCCGCCCGTCGCTATGGGAACGGACGCGGCCGCGGGGCATGCCGGTCTGAAAGAAAACGCACGAGTAAAACCCTGCGGGAGCGCCGGGCCCTGGCCAATGAGCGCTCGGGGGGGCAGAGGCGGTGACCAATGGCTGGCGGCCGGCGCGCAGGGGGCGGGGCCGGGCGTTCTGAGGCGGCGCAGCACGCAGTCTGCAGCGCCGCTCCGCTCCAGGGCCGGTCCCGTCCCGCAGCGCCCGCCGAACGGTGAGGGGAGCGGCGGGGGGGGGGGGCGGGGGGGGTCCGGGGGCGCCGCGCACCGCG